CGTACAAGATCGCTGTTTTCTAAATCAAAATTGGCTTAATGAAAGATTTAAATTATTTTCAACGTAATAAATTCAGTCTGAAATACATCATGTTTTCCATTAATTTCAGGAGGCATGAAGCCATGGTAATAGGTCTTACTTTTCTAGGAACACTTTTAGGTATTAAAACCATTAAAAATTCATGCCATGGAGAGGAAAATTCATTTGGTGAGAATATTTTATTGTCTATAAGTTTACTAATAAAACAATGAGGAAGATTTTGAATGATCTCATTATTTATTTTGTTAAGACATGTAAATGGAATATCTAAAACAGGACCAATCAATAATTGAATATCTAGAATTATTACATCATTTTTTGAACTATAGCAAGAGACGAAAAGAAGGTTTGCAGAAATTATCAAATGAAATTTTTGGAGAAGTTGATATTTGTCAAGACGTTTGTGTTTTCCGTAGTAGAATTTTTTAAGTAATCATTGATGAAAATGGATTTCCTTTCGTTAATTAGCTTATCATAATTATTATCCTCTACTAAACTGCTGAACTTTTCCAACTTTGTTTCCTAAGAATTTTTTTATTTGTTTTGCTAGACTTCGAATTATCGTTACGAGACTCTGGTGACACTGTAAAGTTTCATAAATAAAGTTCTTAAAAATGTAATACTTTTGTCGTACAGTTTTTTTTAAAGAAATCAGAAAGTTTAATATTTTGTATTATTAATTGAAAAAGATATTGACATTTTAGACAATATACATTTCTGACATTAAGTTTGTGAGTAACGTTTATTGACTTTTGAATATTATGGCTTAAATTAATTTCAACTTCAATGACTATTGTAAAATGATCACTATGATAATGCATCTAGAAAGAGAAATGCACCAAGAGCAAGAGGTATTTGTCTATAAATTGGAAGAAATGAATGATAAGTCTACAGCAGAAATTAAATCAATTCTATTTCTGACTCAAGTGCAAGATCCATTAATTAATAATATAAAATTTGAATCAATTATTTGGTTATTGAAATCACCTATAATTAAAACTTTAGTATTGTTATTAGAAGAAAAAGCCAATTTTCTGAAACAAGGAATTCCGGAATCCTGCGTATGTTGCTGTCATGATGTTTGAAAACTAGTAAATCCGAGATATATAACAGATAAAATGTTAGCCGTAAAACACTGTTGTGCAGTACTCCTGCTTCTATCGACTGTCGGTTCGATACGTTTTTATTTATTTTTATTTGAAAAATTATATTTTGTAAATAAGTCTTATGAAACTTGTAGTGGCACTTTTAAACTTATAAACTTATATAAACTTGTGCAGATTTATTTTCATAAATTACGTAACATTTTTCAGAATAGGTAGGATTGCAGAGTCGCTTTTACGCTATCGTTACTATGAATAAGTAGATCCCGGGCAAAACGTCACGTAACGCTAAAAAATTAAAATAATCATTGGTTATTAATAAAGTTTAGACGCCTTGATTCGTATAAGCAATAAGTATTTGAAAACCAATTTAGTCTTTGACAGAAATAGTGAATTTTTGTTTAGTCTACGTTACTGAAGTAATCCATCAATGATTCCCAGTGTAATAGTCAGCGACCAATTGCAGTGATTTTACAAAAGCGTATTGTCAAGTTTAAGATAATATTTTTTCAAAATAAAATGCGTTAAGTCCTAATTAGCTCTATTTTAATATAATAAAGTCCAAAATTGAAGAAAATTTCTTGTTCACTTGAAAAACAAAAGTACGTCAGTTGAGTAATAATGACAAAATTAAATCTGTAAAAATTTTGTCGATACTCCGTGCGCAAAGTGTGTCTTTCCCGTACGTTCGGCAGAAGACGTGCGTTGAAAATCGCACTTTCCGCACGTCGTATCAAAATATACGGTACGGCACATGTTCGGGAAAGAGTTTCTCGCTTCGCTCGGGCGTGAACGCCATACGAGACAACAATCTACTTTCCCGCACTTGTATCGTAATGTACTAATTTTGATAGAGTGTCAAGAGAAAGTGACGAAAATAAAAGCCAAACGAACCCTTAAATTTTTCAAGGTTATTTTTACTTTAAATCTTGTTAAATAATCTTGGATTCGTCTTTGGTCGATTTTTTTCGAATGTTTGAATTTCTATAATATTCTTATTTTACTTCAAATATGCATTCTGATTTTTATTATTACTGTTATTTTGCAATCATAGTCAGCAACAAGTACAGCGACTGTAAAACTACGCCGCTTGAAGATTGATTCCCATCTTTATTGCCTGATCCATTGATATATTGATTACTATTTTCTAGAAGATAATTATTGTCGGACATATCCGTACTGAAGCTGTTAATCATTTCAATTTTCAATTTTTTAAAAATAAATTGTACTTTATTTACCATTAATGATTTTTTTTGTTAGGATTAGAAATATTACATGGCCCTTCTATATCTAACCCATCAGAGCGTTTCTTCATCTCTTCAATATGCCTTTTCCCCTTGTAGAGAAACCCAACAATTAACTCACAGAAAACATTAATCAAGAGAACTTTTGCACAAACACAGATCTTTTACATTTGATTACAGCGTCATCAAACTATAGCTCTCCACCGGCCGTTGACCACACGTCCGATGACTCGATCGCGTCCACGTATGTTTGAGTAGACTGCCGCGTGCCGCCGCACCTGTGTCTCGGCACACATGTACACGTAACCGAGTTTGCTAGCTGTGATTGTTATTGCCATTTCCGCGCGATTGCGCGTTCTACAATACTTTAATAATTCAATAGACGCGTGCCGAGCCTATCGTTAGCCTTTGTTTCGTCAGACTGGTTATTACGACAATTTTATACACTGATTTCCGAAACGATTAATTGATCGTCGAAAATTCATTATTTTTTCACTGCGTACTTTTACCTATGTATAGAAATTGATTCAAAAAGAAAGTTTTATAAATATGTTCATTTTACGTATATATTGAAGTGCCGGAAGAGATCAAGATATTTACACAGTAATCGATGGTCAATGATCAAACACACGTGTTAAAAGTACATATATTCCAATTGTAGAAGATAAACTTTACTATCTCATAAAGTTATATGCCTAGTTATTTCAGAAATAACGAGATTTTTTCTGAACATCTAAACAAGAGTTATACGTATGTGGTAATAAAAGCTGACGTGATAAATGCAGATTGTTGTGACCGTGGCCCCGAACATTACATTCTAACGCGCGCACTTCTAGTCCGCTCACATTATACAACATAGCGATTTTTTCTTATGAATAATTGATAAACCATTCTTCAGAACTTACTTTTTGAATGACTAGACCGGAAAGATGTTTATACCTTTGCGTCTACATCAATTCAACGTAAAAATGACGCATTCCTTTTGATTACGCGGCTGCGATCACGTTCATTCCGCATTTTTTCTCCACGGGCCAATGATAACAAATACTTTCTTCAGACTAATACACGACGAGGCACGTTCTCGAAATCCAAATGAGCTTTCCGTCAATCATCGCAATAAAGATCCGGCCGCGTTTGTTTATCTGCGCACTACCACTCGAGAAATTACGTCAATGCACGACATTGTATGCCAGTGTAATAGATGTTTAATCCTTACTACCGGCTGATTGAACGCACAGCTTAGTTTCGGTTTATTTGCAAACTCATGTGACCGACTTTAACTTTATTGCGGATTGCCGGAACTTCTCTGTTCTTATTTTCTGTTATAACATCGTTTACGCGGAACTTCATTCGTTACGTACTTTTGATTGTAACTGTAAATGGCATCTATGTAAAATTAGATAAATATTAAAATAATTGATTGGTCTTTTACAAATATTTAGGCTTTATCATTGCATTTCATTTCTTTCCAATTGATACCTTATTACTTTTTTTGTCTTATTTTTTGTCAATTAACGTATATACATTGTTTTATATGAATTTCTGTACGAATTTAATTGAACATACGTAGCATGGGAATTTTCATATAATACGGTTGAGCAAACTGTTATTTTTGACTGAAGTTAATTATTAATATAAATAGTACATTACGATACAAGTGCGGGAAAATAGATTCTTGTCTCGTGTGGCATTTACGCCCCAGCGAAGCGAGAAGCTCTTTCCCGAACATGTGCCGTACCGTATTTTTTGATACGACGTATGAAAAGTGCAATTTTCAACGCACGTTTTCTGCCGAGCGTGCGGGAAAAACGCACTTTCCGCACGGAGTGTCGAAAATAAAGTTTTCAATAACGCACATTAGATTATGAGGCCAAATTATCGAGTACAACAAAATATAACATGTGTTTTTTATAGATCTCCTATAGCTAACATTTTCTGAAGCTGAATTTACGACAACGTTAATACAATTTACTTACTGTATTTGTAATTCAAAAAATTTTATGTTTTAAAATTTTGCGATATGTATATATGGATAAAAGTTATATTACGTTAAAAAAATATTAATTAACGATATTAAGCTGCTGTCTTTTGAATTACAGTTATAAAATAATCTCTGGACTAATCGATTATCATTTACTACATTTATTACCAATTTTCGCAAAATATATCGATTTTAATTCATTAAAGAAAAATTATTTTAAACATACACATTTTATAATTTATTCAATCTATTTACTGATTCATTATATTTTAAGACTTAATAAAATATTTTAAACTGCCATTGTTAAGCAACTTCGTGTAAAGTCTTGCATTTATTTAATGTTTATAATGTAAAAATTACCCCCACAGGGGACAGTTCAAACAAATGGTAGCCTTTACACGGCTAGATTCTTTTTTGTAAGAAATCGTTTGATTTTCAATATTCTAATATAATAAATACAGTACTGAGTTATTCTGTCTATTTAAGATATACAGACCATTCAAGAAACGCTATATTAACGGAAAAATGAATTTTCAAGGTATTATACCCAATAATTCATTAAATGTAAATTTTCAATCTCATTGAAATAGAAAATACTTAAAATAATAAAGATGGATAAATAAATAAATATAATTTGGTTAAAAAAGAGATTCTTTTATTAAAAATGAATTAGATCAAAAGAAAATCGATTCCTAATCTACAGAAATCTTTAAAAATACTTTGTTTTTCAATATAGTACGGTAAAAGTGATGATTTCAATGCATTTTTTAAACATGTTTATAAATAGTTGATACATTCATTTAAGAGTCCTTGAAGTACTCCTTTGATCCGACTGGATCGGGCTTCATGGATTTTTGGCCGGGTTTCCAGTTAGCAGGACACACTTCACCGTGTACATCAGTAAACTGGAATGCTTGCACCAATCTCAAAGTTTCGTCAACAGATCTGAAAATGCGTAATTTCTATTTTAATAAAACGTAAATCAGCAAACGAATATTTTCTAAAACGTAAAATTGTTAGTCTATATTATAGTTTAATAAAAAATTAAGCGTCTTCAAATAATGAAATTAGAATTACCTTCCAACCGGAAGGTCGTTGATTGTGATTTGACGGAGATTTTGCTGTTTGTCGATAATAAACAAACCGCGGAAGGGGACGCCAGAATCCTCATCGTAAACACCGTAGTCGCGTGCAATTTTGGCGTTCTTATCGGCAAGAAGAGGAATTTTCATTTCACCCAAACCTCCTTGCTTGCGCGGGGTGTTGACCCACGCAAGATGACTGAAGTGAGAGTCGGTAGAAGCAGCAATCAATTGAGCTCCTATCGCATGAAATTCTGCAGCGCGGTCCGAAAATGCAATAATCTCAGTTGGACAGACAAATGTGCTAAAGGAAAAATAATTTTTTACTATTCATTCTATAAATATATTACAATGTATCTTCCAATAGTTATTACTTCATAAGTAGTGCATGATTCACCAAAAGGTTTAATCAAATATGCAATGATATTTATGACCCTATTATCTAAAAGTTAGGACCACTTTCTTTTTTAATCAACTTCAGATATCTAGAACTTTCCTAAAATATCTGTGTGATATCTGTTGTTAAAAAAATTCAAAGTTTCATAACTTCAGTTAAAATATTACATAAGTTTTGAAAAATAATTAGCAAATTTATTGAAATGTAATTATCAATACAAAATAATGAGCACTATTTAAGTGCCTAATTATGTTGTTTTGAAACTGTTGAAAGACTAGTTATTTTCAAATACATGCCATATCTTTATTTATGCTGATAACTAATCGTAATTTTTTTATGCACTAATATCACACTGATGTTGTAATAGAGTAATAAGAAATATGTTGTAATATAGTGAACCTATACTTACAAGTCAAGAGGGTAGAAGAAGAGAATGACATATTTGCCCTTATAGTCAGAAAGAGAGATATCCTTGAAGTTACCGTTGACTACAGCAGTTCCCTTAAAAGGTGGAGCTGGCTTTTGAAGAGCTGGAACTGGCATTTTGACTTATTTACCTGCAAATATTATCAAGCCATATTAAGATTGTATAAGTAAATATATTGTAAATTCCAATAAAATGACAACTTGATTTTAATTCACATAAACTATTTTTGATTCATTTCATATTGTTATTTCATTGCTCATAAATGAATTTTCAATTATTTTCATATATCTAGTTTAAATGTAAATCACGATTTTTACGATAAAAATACCTAATTTTCAATTATACTTAAAGTAACTAATTAATGAAAAAGAATAAATTGAAATATTAATAAATAAATAACAAAATTAAAAATAAAACTGTTAGTTATTCAACGGGAACTTGATAAAATAGATAAAACACTATCATTGGAAAGAGAAAATTGCGCCAAATGTTTCAATGCCACGAGGCACAAAGCACCTGTTGAAAAAGGAAAAATTGTGAGGTCATAATGATATCTGTCATAGTAGAAAGGCGGTAAATGAAAAGCTTTTCCAGATTATATGATAATAAGCGCTGACAAAGTTGATTATGTAAAATTCAAAAAATAGTGCAAGAATGGGTATCGGTTGTTCTAACGTTCGAACGAAAGGCAGTTGAAGTGAGAAAAAGCGACGCGTACGTACATACGTACGTACATACATACATACATACATACACACACACACACACACATGCTCGCGACCTTCATTATTCCAGAGAAACGTCTAGAGTCGCGAGGTTCATCGAGATCCTTCATCATTTCACCGAGAAAAAAAAGACTTGCGTAATATGTAGCAATGTAAATAAGACCACTACGGTTATTATATATGAAGTCCATGATGGACATCTTAAACGTAAAATCAGTCCGCGGCTAATGGATTTCTCTTGTTCCTGAATCTGTGCAAGCCATGTCCCCGTGGAAAAAAAGTCCTTTGTCCTATTCGGCTTTCTAAAATATAATGTTCCCACCTATAAGCGTAGAATATTTCACAAAAATAAAACGTGAAATGCGACAACCGGTATTACAAAATGTTTACAGCAAATACTATTAGCGAGTGTTATGTAGTCATTTTTGCATGAAAGTTAAATTTGATGAATTTACTCACGCAAATGTAGAAGTCTTGCAAATGGATAACGTGTGTTGTCTGAACACCGGCAGCACTTGAAGTGACGAACAGTAGGCGATGGAGCCCGGCAATATCCACTGGATATCATGGAATGGAAACAGTATGTAAGCAAAGATTAGAAGGGAGATCGCTAAAGGTATGCTTAGCTGTGCACCAGATTTTGTTGGGGCGATCCTAGCGGCCACTCTTGGAACCATGGAAATCTAGCAAATAGAGGGGCGACAGCCGAGTTCGCCGACTGAGGGAAAGAAAGAGCATTGCAAGAGGTGAGAGAGAGAAACTCGAACAGAAGCGATGAATGCATGGACTATCTCCATGGATGAATGAGTCAGGGCAGTGCAAAACTGCATTTTCATATTTTGAGATATTTATATTTTTCTTTTCTCGCAACCTAAATGGATATATTTTAGTCTGGCGTCTGGATATACAGACCCTGTATAAAATTCAAATGCCCCAAGTGAAAATCATCATTCTTATGTATTTTTAAATCGGTGAATCCGCATTCCCATCTAGATTTTGTAGATGTTGAGAAGAATGGTAAATTGATATTTTATATGAAATTCTGCGAATTTATTTCGGTGCAGTCGGCACCGTTAATTTATTTTAAATAAATTTTGAAATTTAATTTATAAATGTAAACAAACTCTCCAAATGGTTTCAGATGAACAATGGAAAGAAAAAACAGTTAAATTAAAATAATATATCTGTTGATATGGAAAAATCCTATGGAAAGCTTGATACCATGAACCAATACGTTAAAAAAGAAACAAAATTAAATTGTTAGGCGCAGCTGATGGTTCTATCCTATCCTTATCCTTGCCTTATATTTATTTTTATTTTTTATTTTTATACTTTTTACATATTTTATTCCTATCTTATCTTTAAAAAAAGATGAGTCGCTGACATCCAGCGTTGTGATTTGTTGATGCAAAAATAGAACCCGAAATTTTGAATTTTCCTATACTTTGAAATATTATTATTATTATAAATCAAAGAGTGTAAGATTTCTATTTTAGTGATAAATTCAATTTATGAATAATTAACATGGATAATAAACTGCAAGAATGGAAATATGTTAGTAAATTGGTTTAAGAACATAATACGTTATGTTTTGAAATTATTTGTACAAATTGTTAATTTTATAACCATCTCCGATACTACAATCAATATCGTTGTGTTAAAATTTGGTAGAAAGAAAAAGAGAATGAATAAAAATAAAATAGAGACTAGATATTTATCTTTTGTATATTTTAAATTAAAGCGTATGCGAACAAAGGAAATTAATTATCAAAATATTAAACCCGTTAAATTAGAAGAATATTTACGGGTGTTTTCATAGTGGTAGCAAAAAGTACACGATGTTAAATGTATTACTCATACTCATATAAGATTGGAGCCATAATCACTATTATTGAATATGTAAGCTTAGTGTTGTAGAATAGTATAATAGCATTATTGATCTTAGGTCGAATTAATCTTTTGAATAATTTTTCCGATATATCTTGAAATGAGTAAAAGTTCATCGATTTTTGAGAAAAAATGGGTGCATGTTCTATTTTTATGCATCAATAAATTTTGACGTATGTAGTCTATTTTAAACAGCATGACTTATTCGTGTTCATTGAAATCTTGAAGTTGACATGTAAAAGGTTCAAATAATGTAATAAATAATAGTAAAACATTAAAAAAAAAGCGCTCGAAGCGCGCTAAATAACACTAGTATTTACAAAATCTAGATATGAATGGGGATTCACTGTCTAAGAATATTTAAGAATGATGGGTTTTCACTTGGGGCATTTGAATTTCATACAGGGTCTGCATATCCAGACGCTAGACTAAAATATCCATTTATGCTACAAGAGAAAACAGAAATATCTCAAAATATGAAAATGCAGCTACTTCCATCCATCCATGGAATTGGAGACTGTATATATGACTCCATGCATTCATCCCTCACTTCTGCTGAGTTTCCCCTCTACACCTTACGGCGCTTTCTCTCTCTCTCTCTCTCTCTCTCGGCTGTCGATCCAGTCGATATTCCGTCCCAATAGTTCTAATAATGGCCGCTACGATCGCCCCAATAAAATTCGGTTAAGGCCGGCAGGTGACAGGCCGCACAGAGCACGGCCAAGCTAGCCATTCTTTATACTATCTAAGCGATCTGACGATCTTTGTCCTAATTTGAAATCTTTGATGTAAGTTCCATCAATTTAGTCACCAAAATTTTTATAATAGTATGTAAAAAATCTTTTTCGCAAGAATTTTTAATGCTCATTTCAAGAATACTACTCCTAATTCTTTCCTTATTTCGTTCAAAAGAATTATTCAACAAAAACGCAATTATAATTCAGTTTTGTTAATCACTTTTATGCAATCTGATTCATGTTTTACTTGATTTTAAAAGTGCCATTCAAATACTCGTAGTTCACTTATTTCAAAAATATTTCTTTTTTTTTAAATACATATTATGGGAATAAATGCAACAATAACAACTTATTATTTATATATTATAGTATAATTCAATGCCTGCGCCAGGGCTCTTGTTGCGATATGATTCTTGTGGTTTCATTAAAAATGAATAGATGGCACTTTATAATACCATTAACTTTGCGCTACACTATCAATAATAGCGTTATAAATAATAATCAAGCAGTGACATAAATTAGAAAGCAACTGTCGATGTCAACATATTAACAAATTAAGTATCCGAAGCCATTAAAATATTATATAACGTCATTAAACATTTATAACAAAAGTAAAAATTATAATTTTTTAAAATAAGACTTTATTGAAGGATAAATTTGTTTTTTTTGAAGAAGTATTTCGGAGGATTTTTTAAATATTGTACGTAATTTTAGGCAAATTAATAAATAGAGGTCAACATTAAGCGTAATAAGCAAGTGGTTCAAGCCCATAATCAACATAACCTTACTTTTGCATTTATCATTATTGCAATTCATCTGACATTAGTTTATTTATTTACGCACTGCGTTTGATTTAATATTATAATAAGATAATGTAAGTTTCTTTTCTTCTTCTATATTTTTTGTAGATAATTTTAATAAAATCATTTGTACACAGATGTAATTTTGATAAACTTTATTTTTTTTTATACTAATTATACGATAATATGCTACAAAATATGTATAGTATGGCTGGAATAGTTCAATATGTTATCGTTCGAAAAGATCTCATTAAAGCTTTGGAATGGCCGGTAGGAGCTGTTATAGCACAAGTATGTCATGCTTGTACTGCAGTTACTCACCTATTCCATGATGATCCTCATAGTCAAACTTATTTATCTGATTTAGATAATATGCATACAGTTGTGTTGGAAGTAAGTATAAATAGTATTGATCCCAACGTTTTTATGTTACCATTAAAAAACTTCATAAAATTGTAAGTTTTGGTTATTATGATACTCATGGAATTAATTTCCAACGTAATACGATATTAATTTATTTAGTAGTATAATATTGTTATGGCAAAAAGAATTATGATACTTTTACGTTGTTATATAAAGTTCAATTAATTAAATTTGTATTGTTTTTATTTACTATTTGCATTTTGATTATGTTGATTTTCTCAATAAGATATAAATTTTGTTGAAATTTATTGAAAATTCAAGCAGTCTTTGAATATCAAATACATTACAGGTTCCATCAGAAGAAAATTTAAAAACTATACATACAACCTTAACTGAAAATAATATTCTACATAAGCTTTGGATCGAGCAACCAGAAAATATACCAACTTGTTTAGTAATTAAACCATATCCTAAAGACAGTGTACATAAATATTTAAAAAAATTGAAGTTATTCAAATAGTATCATTATATTTAATTTTAAGAAAAGAATGACATTGAAGGTGAATAAAAATAAAGACTTGTGTTTTTAATTTTTATAATTGTACAGTTGTATTGTATCAATATCATATTCATATTATTTTTATTGAAAATATGAAAAATAAAAATAGCCTAACTCATGAATGATATACATAAATACATATTATTTTTATGGTTATTATAAACATGTGTACATTTTACTTTTTTTTTATTTTTCCATAATGCACAAACAGTAAATGTTTCAAGATTATTATTAACTTATTATTGTATAAAATTTATGAAATTAGGTTTGCATTAATGATATACAGAGTATTTTTGTGTTTCATTTTATATTACATTTTGTAATATCAATTTCATATGTTTCTTCTATAATAGTGTTAAATTTATTGCATCAAATCTTCAAATAATTCTATATAGCATAATCACTAAGATTGGAATAAAATTTTATGAGTTTTATATGTATACATTTTCATATAAACAAGAGTATAGTATAGTAATTTAACGCATTAGCCTTTACACTGTTATAAACAATTATTACTCAAATAATATTCCACACTAGATCTTTCTTTAATGATTTCTTAATTAATTTACATAATTAATCTTTCATGAACTGGATAGTACTATGTTTCGAAAAATCTATTGTCTGACACATTTTCATAGTCAATATAATATAAATAAATAAAATTGGTATATTCCAGTACAAGTCTGTCTGACACAACTATAATGTGAGTGTCAAGATTTTGATTTTGTTCTAAATGGCTATGTAGTCTATAAATACCATAGAAATAAATATTTGTTCTTATATTCACTGGCACTAAATGAATACCGGTAATTTGTTAAAGTACCAAACGTTTCAGCGCTAGAACATGCCAGACTCGGGAGATTTATCTTCAGAGCATTTGATCTAGCAGTTCCTGGATTGATTCATTTCCTAAGCATTGTTATACAATTCATTTCAATAGACAATCATATTTATCAAACTATGTTAATATACTTTTGTTGCTTGCTTCGGGATTATTTTCTATATACACACACATACACACTATTGGCAATGAACACTGTAAGTACATTTATTTACAACACTTGTAGGCAAGTTGCATATTCATTCATCGGCATATATATTTCCTTCGGCAGTAAAAATGATTCAGAAGCAGATAAAAATCGGAAACTTCATGCTCAGGATGACTGATTTTTCATAATAGGTTTCTGTGGAAATGGAATCCTTTGAGTAAGACTGGTTAATTATTATTTTCTTCTTCTTCCTCTTCTAACCATTTTCTTAAAATATTTCGTTTTGGCTGAAACATTACATTGAGCCAAATTAACATTCACGAAGTAGAAATAGTTATATTTGTATGATTAGAATTTTGAATTTTAATTGGTATTCAAGTTATTTTACATTAATGTGCATTGGTTTAAAAATTGAGTGAGAAGCAACTAAATGGCCATGTAAAACAAAAGTTTGTTAAAAATACCCACTACAATCTGTATTGCAAACAATTAAAAATCAAGTTGTACAAATTGGAAAAAGGAATAGAGTAGGAATGGCACTTCTTACCACCAGAAGCAAGTCCCAATTGTGTTAGCTCTGGATTAGTCAGTACGTGTTTGTTATTTATCTCTTAAAAATTTGATTGGATGCTGGCGTATAGATATATAAGTGGATAATGGTGGTGATGGTTGGTAAAATGAGTGGATCGATTAATTTAGGTAAGGCATCAGCGCTGAGTGTCCGTCTAGGTGTTGGTTTGTCGATTATTGCTCGTCCATGTTGCTGCTCTCGTCGAGGTCGTCGGCTGCATTGCCGTCGTCGTAATCATCTTCCTGATCTTGCTCCTGCTCCTGCTCGTCGTGGTCTGTCTCCGCGGGCTCCGGCAGATCAACCACCGCTGAAGACGGGCTCGGTATTCCCTGCATCGTTCAAAGCAATCGCCCACGCACACACGCACACACCGTGTTAGACAAACTACTTACTGTTACTTGCACAGCTTGTGCGCTGATAATAGTCGATTTTTAACTCGTTATTGCAATAACAATAATGTTAGCAATGACTAGATGCATCGTATTCTGCAATATTTTATCATGTGAAAATCCGCTATTATCATCTTTAACATGTAGCCTAACAAAATTAATGCGCACATATTTTTGGCGTTATCGTCGTATGCGGCTTATTCAATGTTGTTAGTTTAATTAATTAATTAACCATTGTATCTTTAAAGGAAACTTTTAAATGAAATATCGTATGAAGGCATGCAACAACAGCTCAGTACAACGATGAAGAGAACAAGTGTTTGAAAAACAGTTAATAACTATCAACTACTGCTTTGCTTAACGGCTGTTCGACGGTAAACGAGAAAATTCTTAAATGTTACCTGAAAAAGCTTACGGAAACAACGTCTTCGGCTTGTTTGTATTTTAATGATTAATGCCAAACTTGTTGTGGAGAAAACGTTTGCAAACAATATGAAAAGTCGCGAAATCGAGAGTGAAGGAAAGAATGCGAACGAGTCACTTGGCAAAAAACGGTTAAGTGTGATTTTCTCTGACGACTTTGTAAGCGAATCCTAAAGGGTTGTTAAGAGTTGACGAATGCGTTATTAGTGATAGATGTGAGTCTAATGTTACCTGAGGTGGCCTCCAACCGCATCCTGGCAGCGGAAGACCATCAGCGCCTACTGGGCACGGTGCATCCAAACCAGGTACACCCTGTTCGCCCTTGTCGCCCTTTTCACCGCGTTTACCACGTTTACCCTGCTGCCCCTGGAATAGCGTGCAAGCCGTCATATCGCGCTTCTGCATCGAACGATTGCCATTCGGCAGGCGTTTGTACCGCTTTTACCGGTGGCCCGCACGACCCACATGAGATTGCTTTATCATAGCCGCTCTCAAACCTTTCGCCACAGTTCTGCGGCTCATTGCGAATATCAAGCGTGCCGATAAAACGATCTCACGCGAATCGTTAGATTCTTAGTTTTCGTTCGATAGACTACAGAAATTGCATGCGTAATAGGCCAAGCAAAAATCAATGGCGATAATGCAAAAAGTGTCCCGGACTAAATAAGACGTGTCCGTAAGAATGATAAGCGAATAATTGTGGAAAAATAGTAATCGTGAGATGCGTGAAAGACGATGCAGGATCACATGATTTCTCTATGTAATTCACACTTTGAGTATCGTAGTTAAATTCTACGAACTTGCAAACTCGTTACGTTTATCACGGAAACGCTAAATGTAAAATCGTCCAGTTGGAAAAGAATTAGCGATTCGTTAATGTGGTGGCAGCATATAACAATATAAGGATCGTCTTTTGTCAGTGCTGCGTCGTTCATGCTAATCAATAAGTTATTTACACCTTTGTTAAACATATGAATATCCAACCCCATTGATTTGCTCATCTGGACAGGTGATACTTACGGGTTCGCCTTTAGCTCCTCTTTCACCCTTCGGACCCTGTAACGAGTGTCGCAGAATATTGTTTTCTCATGAGTATTCTCAAAGTCAAAAGTTGGCGAGAAAGTATTAAGAATAAAAGGCCTATGTGGTTTATTTTAATGTCATGCAGATTTCTGACTGATTAATTACGCAAAAAGTAGTTATTTTAGGATTTATACCTCACTACCCGGAATCCCATCAGTACCCTAAAAATACGAAGCAACCTTTGTTACATGGACATTAGTTAAGTTTGTTTAAGTTTGTCGCAATACGTCATTTACCGACAAAATTATGTTTCTTTACACTTATTTGTCATGGACAGTGTATTAGAATTATTCATTACACTAGCAAGCTCAGTTAGTGAGATTAAGTCTGCATGTTGCATAAATTTCAAATGATATAAGTTTGTCAGTAGATTGCCCGTAACGGTATGTACAAGTGGTAAGTAGATTACGTACGGGCAGTCCTGTTTCTCCTCGTTCTCCCTTTGTGCCAGGCTCTCCCTGAGCTCCCTGAAATAAGTCACTTTTGTTGCTCACGTTGTTTCGACAACTAAATTGCAACTTTGCTTCTTACCTTCATTCCGTCAAGTCCAGGTGGGCCCTGAAAAGTAAAGGAAAATCAAATGAAAATTGACGCACCAATAAGAACTAGTAAGAAAAGACTAGTCAGAGCAATGATTAATAATATCATTATTGGAAAATGCACAACCAACTGATAGATATGATGCAATATTATTTTACAGGTGATTATAGCAAAAACAGTATAATAGATCGGTAGGTTTCACACAACTCTAACAAGACGCGTAAGTCGTCTTTTTACCAGCTATTATAGGCATGATTTTCGCAGCCGAGCAAGTACAACTTGATATTTGAAAACACACACGCACACGCACACGCACACACGTACCAAATATCAATGGCAGACTCAAGATGATAGACCAAATAAGTTTGACACTACTGAATGTAGAATGACTTCAAGTATTTACTGAGAGCGATGATACAGTCACGTGAGACGCAATTCTACAATGCAATTGATACCCAATGAGTGAGTGCGACATTTAGGTAAATGATTTTTTAAGATGGCAGAAGAAAAACACGACACTATCTAATTCATTTTAGTAACGGTGCATCTTTAATTTTAACGAAATTTAGAATAAAGAAGGCATTCGAGCATGGCATTAATATTATTAGTAGTGCAACAGCTTGTATCAGTTTATCGGGCTATTTGACCATTTGTCCTTCAATAAATTACTATCGATTAAAGAATTTTTCATCGTAGATAAGCTCTCTCCTTCTTTGGCTATTGTATCGTCAAAATTAAATGTCTATCGAAAAGTACTTTACAGTGAAATTAAAGAAAGAATTGAGAAGTAGTGATATTAGTACAAGATAAGCGAAAGATTTCATAAAATCCCAACATACATGACTTTACAACTTTAAGTTTTTTTGACAAGTGCGTAACTACTATTTATCACAAGTAGAAAGAAATGTTTCACCTGGAAAATGAAGTGAACCAGCAAAATCCTATACATATTTACCTAATGTCTCTTTCTTTTTTTTTTTTTTTTTTTCGTTTTACATTAAGAGGAGACTGCTGTGCGTATAAGCTCCAAGTTGCATTGCACGATTGTGGTGACGTATGGTCGCAGCAAATCAACACGTATGAACCATTGTTTATCGTTTTTTTTTTTTCTATCGAATGCCGTTATTTGATAGAATAATATACAAAATCAATACTAAATCAATTGGTATTGTTAAATAATAAAAGAAATACAAAACGTAACCTGTTAGGTAGTTTGTCCAAGGTTGGCGCATACTTGAAAAAACAAAATGCAAAGCAGTTATAATATATATAACTCACTACTAGAAAGGCTAAAAAGAAAAGAAATGATATAAAAATAAAAAAAAATGGAAAAACACAGTTTGAGGTAAGCGTTAATAAAGGTAAGTCGTAAAAAGCAATAAGGCCTTAGGCACATGCACATTCTGTTTATTAATCAGGACATCTTTTTGAAACAAATGTTTGTGAATGGCCATTCGACGTATTCACTGTTTGTTTTCAACGACGACGAAAGATATCGCTGGTTTGCTTCGCAGAGTTGGAGCGCTTACCGATCCTCTATTTAATTGTGAATATTGTTTAATCAACAAACATAGGTTACACTTCGTATGTCTCATCGTTCGAAGATCATAACACCCTGGTGTCTCGGGGCGATTCACTTTATCCTCTTCTTCTCTTCATCTTTTACTTTGATTAACATTAAGCTCTTAATGCTATATATATTCTACAGCGATGAAGAAATTTGATTATATTTGACGCTTAGGTTCTGTATTTTACAAGTTCAGGGCATTAAACCCAGATGATGACATCGAGTATTTTTCGCAAATCACGCTTTCTCTTTATCTTTATCAACTTATTTCTAATCTAGTCATCTGAGTACTTAACTTACAGTCAACATTAGAGAGTCGCGCACAAGATCTTGGTTTCTTTCTTTAGTACCTCGTTTTCATATGTACAAGCAAAGTATACTGCAGGAGTACTGTGATCATAGCCGCAAACAACTTTTTCTACTATTTATACTTTTTCATTGTGTTTTCGATCACAAAAAAATAAATTACCTTTCGTTAATTATTTTACTTTAAGCCACACTGCACTGACAAGATATCTTTCTTCAATTACTGGTATGAATGAATTTATTATACAAATGTAATCAGTTCATATGAGATTTATCACGGTTTGGCGGTTTAGTAATCAATCCCGGCAGAATCAACTGAGTATTTAAGTTTTCCTTTCAACAATAGTTCTAAATGAGCAAGTTCAATCAATTGTTTTAATCTTGTTTTAACCTCCAAATCTCTAGTGCGGTATTGGAAATTATTATTATACAAATTATGTTTATAAAATCAATCGATTTCGATGAATATTTTGTCCATAAGAACTGCGTGTTCTTCTTTTGTAAATTTAATCAACTTAATTTTTTTAATTTCGTACGAACAAGATTTATCCTCTTTGCAAAAATCAATAAATAATCGGAAAAAATATACAACGGACATTAAATTAAAATTGCATCATTATACAGCTGAATCAGCTCTATTTTCATATTTGTTAAAATATTATTTTACTTTTGTTTTTTCGTTCTGAGATCTGAATGTGCAATACAGAAAATATCTTGTTCGACAACATGTTTTTACATGGAGCAAAGCACACATAATTTGATACAGATGTATGGTTAAAGACAATAGTGCTATTTATTTTGCCACGAATATAATATAAATTTCAGTTCTTTCAGTACACGATAATATATGTCTGCTAAAAAATTTTGTCCGTACCATTGAAACCGAATTTTTAGACCTAATTTTATAAATTTCTATATCAAAATATTATGATCATTCAAAATTTTTTCAATTAATTTTGAGATTTTCCCATAATTTTCATAAAGTGTATAATTTGGTTCTATAAATTATGAAGATACCTTTCACTACAAAAGTTACTCGACGAATTTTTCTAGACAAACATAATTATTCGTGTTCATTAGATATTTTCATATTTATTTTCTTATTAAAAATTATAAAAAGTGAATGAAAGAATTATTTTTAACGTCACATAAAAGGCGTTTAATTATTGACATTGTATTCATATTTTTTTACAAAAGTATTCAATTGATAGTTATTTAAAAATACGATTATCAGGAAGTAGAAGAGCAATTGAAAATAAAGTATTGGTAATTATAAATATTAGATAAAAAATTTAGATATTATACAGGAATAGACACTGTTTTAAGTTCAATCTTGTTAATACAAAAATGTCAAACAAATAATACAAAGTTATAAATATTATATTATATATATTATAATATAATATTATAAATAAATATTATATCTATATTAAATAAAAAAATATTTTTTGATAAAAAAATTACTAAAAAGAATATTGTATAAACTTAAATAATCGAATATCAATTGTAAATATGGACGTTACTATTAAGAATATTTTCAAAAGTTTTTTTTATGTAGTTGGAAGTCACAATCATCTAAGTTGATAGGAATTACATTGTATATTATATTGATATCGTGCTTGTTTAGAAGCATTTCAAAATATATTTTAAATTTAGGCGCACATATAAAAATCGCTGCATTTCTTTATTTACGCATTCAGTTGAATAAGCAAAACTCAAGCTTAATAGTTGCAATGTATTTTTCAAAAACATTTAAATGGCAGTTGAACTCACTCTTAGACATTCAGTACAAACTTATGTAAACTTAAAAAAACGAAATTAACTTTGATATCACCAATAAGCTTGAGTTTAACGTGAAGCTTCTGATCTTTATCATTCTTTTGGATTTTATAAATTATTCTTCAAAGAAAGTATGATCGGTATTTTTTTTCTATACTTATTATAAACATATCGCTAGTACTGTTCCCCATAAACTTAGGTACTTTTGGAATACCATTATTATTCTACAGAGATCGGCGTGTTCTTTTATCAAATAAAGTCTCATTTTTTTAAAGGATTTGACGATGAATTTTTTTTCATTCATCGAAAGTATAGAGGCGAATGCAAATCGATTAAACAATTATGACGTAATTTCTTTCGGAATATCAGAAGCAACAGATTTTGTTTCAATAATCTATAAATAATTGCAAATTACTCGTCAAAAGTTGTCGAGTAAGAATCGTCACATGTGCTTTCGTTCAAGTTTTAAAATCTGATAACATTGTCTTCTTGCGAATCGTCAATTCGCATTTCACTGCGATTACTCTAAAAATAAATACAATTATTCCAAATGGTACAGTACTATTATTTTTTCTAATCAATATTTTGTTAATACTTTATTTGCTAGACGTAAGTAAAATTGTAAAATTAGTGAAACATAAATAATTTTTTAGTTCGAATATATTAAAAACAGTTATACGTAATCTTAAATTGATTATATTATTCTCATAGATTAATTTTGCGTATATATAAAAAATAGCAATAACTTAATTAATATATTAAATTTTATTTCATTAATAATTCGAATGAACTTTGCTTCGATTCTCAATATTGAGAATATGATATATCGTTGCTTTTATAACAAATATTGAAAATTTATTTACAATCATTTTCAATTCTATTTAACGTTAGATTTAACAAGGAGATTCATTGCAAAATTTTTAAAAACGTATTTGTATGGCTTCAAAGTCGCGTTAGTAAATTATGTTATACGGTATTTTGTACATGAAATTACAAACGACGTAGAGCACGTAAATTGTTAGAGTTGTAAAATACAATAAATATTGGGAATTTCCAAATGAAATTCAAGCGAACTGCTTTAAATGATGGATCTTGTAAAAAGTTGTTAGAATAATACAATTGTGAAATGGATAAAAATAAAAAATGAGAAAATACACTGTATTGCCCCGCGAGCCGAGGCACGCCGATTTCTGCAGATGTTCCATGAAACTGGCGCGGCTTATACACTTATACGATTATTGATTCCGTGACAAAATATATCTGGCGCATTCATGTTTTTCTGGGGTACTATTTTTTCACCAAGTTAATAGCATAGATTACAGAGAGAAAATGCTCTCAATAAACACGTGCTTATGAGAATAGGCTCAAGACGCATTTTGACAATCAGGTCCTTTGCGTCTCTCCGCAAAGTCCCAGCTGGTCTGCGTTAGATAGGTTATTGTCGCTTATCTTTGTAGTACCTATCCCATGTTAGTCGTTAGTCGGATCATCACCACGCGCCAACCTGTTTTTAAGCCGATTATTAATAAAAGATTGAATTTATTATAGCATTTTATAATTCATTCATTGGAGCGCGTCATCAATGCCAATTTCATCCTTTCAATTAATAATCAATAGCGGCGTAGACCAAATCCTTTGGAACAATTTTCTTCGTTATATACTTTGAATAATAAATTCCAGTGTTTGTAAAACTATGTTAAACAGATAGTAAGTAATGCCTTTTCTCAATATTTTATATCAAAAACTTCAATGCAATTACATATATTAATATTGTCCAGTGCTGTTTTCGTTATTCATGCAATGTCTGCAATTGTGAAGGAGTTTTGATTAGCTACCAAAAGCGTATTAATGGCCCATCATTTATTACAATTCGAACATATTTGGTTAACAAATAATAGAATTGTGCCAAAGTAGAACTGCATCTGTTATTTTTCAGCAGTATGAGAAATTTTTATCGCTCCATTATTAAAAGTATATAACGAAAAAACAAATAACTACACCAGAAGTAAAACTAATAATTGACTATTAATTATTAGAAGCGATTAAAAGTTTAATTTTAAAAATTTTCAAATAGCTATATTTGTTTTTTGTATCTGTTTTTCAGATTACATCGATTTTAAACTGCAAATGTTGTAAAGAGCTGAAAAAATTTGGCATCGAGACATGGCTCTTCAATTTTAGATTAAGCTATTAAACCATTATACGTTATAGCAAAGTGAGCCGTTATTTGTAAGTTTTTGCAATAGCATAACAGCAGTGCGATTTGTGTCATATTCGCTTTATAAGATAAAACGATCCATTATTTTACTGCAAGGAAAGATCTTTTATTTCTGTACATAAAGTCTTTGTTCAACATAAATATTTAACATGAAATAAACAAAAAGGTCTTTCAATATATTTAAACTAGAAACAAGCGAAACATCGAAAAAATATGCTACAGTCGAAACGTTACCGAATCTTAAGTGAAAAAGAACGAATTATCAGAACTAAGACTTTCTTAGCGCGTACGATAAAAAACTTGATAATGATTGTAAATGAAATTCTAAGTGTACGTCGGTTACACAAAACGATTAAAACAAATCATTGTTCTATAAGGATGTAGCTCTTTTTACATAATTTATAAAATTATACAAATCTTACAACTCGTGGAACTTTCAGCAATTATTTACAGTTGAAAATTCAAGACTGCTCTTTTACAATTGAGGACTTTGATATTTTGGTGAAAATAAACATTACTACAGTGAATGTCAACTAGATTTGAATATAACAACCACGTCGACAGTTGCTGCAATTCAAGTATTTTTTCGAATGTATGTTGAATAATTCTCGTTTTCAAATAACAAGTTCGTTAGATTGGATAAAAGATCCGTGATTGCACGACATTGAACACGAATTTTAACAAATTTTGAGCAGTTCAGTGGGGATCCCACAGGTTCAGTGAGAATGGTGCGTTTTAGAAGCTAGAAATCCTCGATCTTACCATGGCGCCTGGTTTTCCTTCTACTGGCCTCCCGGATTCTCCTCGTAGTCCCATCGGCCCCTGCAATTAACATATAACAAATTTAGAAAGTGTCATAGTTACATTGCGGCTCCACAGAAATTTTTACGCATATAAAATGTAAAGAAACGCATCAAGTTAGATATAATTATACGTACGGGCAGTCCCATTGGGCCAGGGTCGCCTTTCGAACCCTTCTCACCCTGTAATTCAAGAAATTAGTGATTAGACGGAGAACTCGAAATGAAGAGGCAGAAGCCTACTTCTGTGGCATCTATTATTATTGAACGCTAGAAGCAGCAATTTCGCTAAGTTTCCTTTTGAGAAAAACGGATGTGATTCGTTCTTCATGGCAATCGATGGGCGCTGTAGAGCCGAGTACTTCTGGCAAAGTTATGACATTATTTTCGAGTTGTCGACGCAAACATCGATAAAATTGAACCGCTCGCTCGCGGCGCGCGCGTTCGGCAAAGTTTTCGAGTGTGCGCGGCTGGTAGTAGAGCTGACACGCGGCCCTTAGCGGCGGCTGCTGCTGGGAGCGACGACGTGACTTTTTACAACTACGGCTAGCAATTTTTTTAATGAGAAAACTTGTGGCGCCCAAGTGGGTTCACCGAGTTGAAACCGATCGCGAGAATGACTCTGCAGAATATTTTCAATTACAGCGGGGTAGTCTGACTTTCGATTATGTCTACGGACAGAAGAAAAAGCATCACGATTACTGACAGGATCACCCTTGGCGCCATCGTGTCCCCGGTCACCCTTGATGCCTGGCGGGCCCTGTAGTCCTGGCGATCCCGTTGGTCCTGGGGGCCCCGGAGGTCCCATTATCTGTAAATTAGAAGCACGCCAATGATGCCTCGTTGTTTAAGGAGCTCACCGTTTTCTCTGCTATTCCAGACAAGATACTTACGTAGGAACCCGACATCTCGCCAGCGTTCACTTCGAATGTGCTGTCACCCTGAAAAGTTCAGACAAACGTTTCTCAGCAAACGCCTCCTCGCAACTTGTTAGATCGATATTTCTTCCGACGATCAGTGTCTTACCTGTCTTCGCCTGAGCTTTTTGTACTTCTGCATTTTCAATTCATGCAACAATCAACGCAACATTACTCATCAATGGATACGAGGATAATTAATTTTAGAAATTCAACATACCGATTCGCCTTTGTCACCTTTATCGCCCTTCTGTCCAGGATAGCCCTATACGGATGTTTTTCAAGTATTTAAGTTTTCATTGCAATTTGTCGGTACGCGACTGAAAATGCCATTTAAAAAAAAAATGTCGCGAGCGCTCAGTACGTACTGGTGGGCCAGGTAAACCAGGAGGACCCATGAGTCCTGGAGGTCCAATGTCACCATAGTCTCCCTTTTCTCCTTTCGGTCCCGAAAGTCCCTGTATTCATCGAGTAGGATATATCGTAACGATTGCTAATCGAAAGCAAAGCGAAGCTGTGGGAAGGTGAACTTACGGGTAAGCCAGGGGGTCCCTGGATGCCAGGTTCTCCACTGACCCCGTCGCCACCGGGTAAACCTTGTATGCCTTGGTCTCCCTTCGCTCCTAAAATCAAAACAAGAGATTATCAATTTCAAGGGCCAAGGCAGTGAATGTAAAGGCAATCTGATTATGGGTTAAGAATGTAGGTTAATTTCTCCGACAGCTGCCAGAATAACCTGCAAATGACAACGATGTTGCATCGTATACAAGTAAATCGAGAATGACGCGCTTGCAGCTGAAAGTTGATCGACAGATAAGTCGCCTGTCGCAGTTATATATGGCAATGTATGTGTGTGCATAATGCCCCCGCAGCCATCACCACGCGAACGGACGGTCGAATAGTCTCTACCTTGTGGGCCGCGCTCGCCTTTAGGACCGTGATGTCCTCGTTCGCCGGGCTCACCCTTCGGGCCCCTCAACAGATTTGTCGCCGTCAACAGGCTGGCCTCCCGGCCTCGGTCACCCTGCGAACCAAGGCTTTCGCATTGTCACACCACTTCCGGCCGTAAACCACTTCGATGACTTCTTTTACTCGCTTGCGTTGGGGATTTTCAGTTTGGAAGTCTGTGCTTGTGAAGAGGAACAGCGTGGATAGGAGAGAGACTACGTAGTGTACACTTTTTCAAATACGTTCAAACTACTCAATCGAAACATCGATAACGTTGATTTCCCGAACGCATACGTAGAATAATAAAAGCTTCCTTTTCGATGCAAATTGCAAATTATTAATTATTTGCCAGAGAATCCTTCAGAATTCATAAACTTTTATGTTTCCATGTATTGCTTTAAAAATATCATCAAATCAAATAATAACTTACGAAACATTCTAGTTGAAAGTAAAAAAAAAAATTAGGAAAACAAAAACAGAAATTTGCATGAACAACTTTGCAAATCAAATGAAATCTACATAAAAATAGCTATCAGAGTGCATAATACTAAAGTACACTATATTACGTACATCAAATGATTATATTGATAAAATCGTGCACACCCTCTCCATAGAGATAAGTGGTATAAAAATCTATTAGTTGGTAGAGAAACGCTTCGATAATAATAAGAAAAAATTAATACGTGTTAAAAAAAAAAAAAAAAAAAAAGACGTGAGGCTGTAAAACGTTGAAACAATACACATTGATAAAAAACAAAACATGAGAAATACAGCTGCGCTCGCCAATCGCAACGACAGTGAGAATGAAAAATTGAAAATCAGCGAGTACAGTTGCGCAAGATATAGGTGATTATTATTGGTGGTGAAGAAGAAAATACTTACGTGCAGAGAAGCGAAGTGAGCGCTCGGAGCTGCCGAAAGGCAGCGAGCGCACCGGTCAGTTGGCGATACATATTAGTAATTAGTTGGATTCGGGCTTCGACTTAATGCTTGCGCTGCGCGCGCATCTATAGAGCAGATTGCCGCGTTGTTGTCTACAGTGGTGCGCAAGTGGGTCTTATAGGTGTTATTTGCTACATAAACACAAATTAGTTACCAAGCTACGCCGTAACGCTTATGTACAGAGAGTGAGAGAGTCGCCCGAGGATTACAACTCTCCCCGTCCCCCTGCCTCCCCCCCTCTCTCTTGGCGAACTTGAAACTTGTTACATGGCTACAAAAGCTGCGTATGTATCGCTACTCTGTGTACAGCCTACGTTGCTCGATATGTTCGCGTGAATCCGAGCCGCACTCGCGTGAAAAGCTTCCTTCCTTGTGCAACGATTGTTATGACCGTTAGAAACGAGGCGTTTCCTTTGTTTTCAAGCGGCCTGGGCTCGCGGCGACTGATGCGCGCACTCGGAATCACGTGTGAGAGCATCACAAGAGAGAGACAGAGAGAGAGAGAGAGAGAGAGAGAGAGAGAGAGAGAGAGAGAGACAGAGACAGAGAGAGGAGGAAAAAAACTGAAAGCCGCGCTCGGAAAGAAGTCGCAAGTGAAACGAGAAATCGAGAGACAACCAGAGTGGGGAGGGCAAAGAAAAGAAGAGATAAAAAGAGCGAAAGATCTCTCTGTCCACTTTGCGGCCAGAGAGATATCCTGCTTTTGTCGTCCGTGATTAATCGCTCGTGATTTTAATGATCGCATCTCCACGGCAGAGAGCGAGGGGAGACTTTACTTTGTCTCTCTCGCGGAATAAAAGATATTTCCAGATATCTCTGGCTTCCCTTGATAAATGTATGCATTTATTTGTTCGTTGCCATAGCTTTATTGAGAAAAACATGTAGCCGTAAGGTGTAGCGATCGTTAGAAACGAGCTTGTCCGAGTGGAAGCAAAGAATAGGGTTGTACCGCGCTTCTTTCCACGCGCCAAGCTTCCGTTGGTTAATTCAACTGTCGCAGCTGGTTAAACAATACTTACGCGCAGTGTTACAGACAGAGGCTGCAGCTAGTAGTACTACGGAGTGATTATTGCGGCTTGTTGTTACTTTATTGCCTATATGCGGCCAAACTGTGAGAGAGAACTGAGAGAGACTGTCAGAAAAACACAATGTTTTATGTGGTTTGCACTGTATACACGCACACAGACGCCAAATGGCTTAGCAAAGCCCAACTATCGTGTTCACACCGGCGAATATTTCCATCGGATATATATCCATTTGCGCTCCTAGTCGGTCTATGTTTGCCTTTCTATTTGCACAGATATGTATGTTTTAATCATGAAAATGTAGCGATAACGGACGAATGGTACGTGTTATTTGCTGCCACCAACGTTTCAAATCTCTCTCTTTGAGAGCTTTTACTGTCTACAATAGTTTTAGCACTTTGTTTTCTCCGTTGCGTCTTTTTCTTGTGGCTCCTTTACGTGCTATCGCATATGCATATTCATGGCTGCGTCATTCGTACACGCGTGCAACAGACAGGTAAATGCATGCCAGAGCATCGCGAGGTTTTAGGCGTTTTTTTGCTCGCAACGGATGTTCTGTCCCCTTTAGCAAACTGCGATTTTCCAGGCGATGATGTAAACAAAAGAGGCATCAAACCACATACACGCAAACGTCGAGAGGCGAGAAAAGGAGCGTGAGAGAGAAATAAGCGCTGAAGATGAAAGAGGAAAAAATTGCTTTCGTTCCGGCACAGTGGGCTCGGAGAAAGAGCGGAGATGCAGGCGTCGCGAGCAGCAAACGCGGGACAGATGAAGATTAAGTGTCGCGGAAAGCCAGCAGCAGCGGACAAGAAAGAACGGATAAAGTTAAGGCATAGACAGAGAGAGTATAAAATCGAATGTCCGAGCGTGTCGAATCTCGTACGGACACATGTGTCTTACGTGTGTTCCCCCGTTTCACACCTTTGTTCGCTCTGACTACTATTCTGCGACGGCGACGTGTGCGCCTCATTCCAATCGCTTCGCAGCCCGCGCCAAAAGGAAAGAGTGCTGCACTCGGTGCAAGCGTGCGTTTTCAATCTGCTGGTGCTGTTCGGGTACGCTACCGCGGAATTAAAAGCGGAATCGAACGAAATAGAGGCAGAGAGAGAGAGAGAGAGAGAGCGAGGGAGTGCGATTGCATTTGATTTCGCAGCACATCTGTTTCTTCCGGCCGGAATCGCGATCGAAAGCACGAGCATCCTACGTAGGTATGACGTTATCTCGCTCTCGGTCATTGTATACTACTCTACTGCGTCACTTTTTTTTGCATTTGTGTTTTCTCTTTTTCTACGGATACTTATTTTATCATCTTGATATTGATCTTATCCAGTTGATCCACTTTTTCAATCGTCGCCGCGTTTATAGTTCGTAAAGATACTATCGGAAAAATCGTCCCAGTTCATTTCCACATAAATTCGCATTTAGTAGCTGTTAGTTGTAGAATAATGTATATGGGGATTAGTAGCAGTCGCATATAGTTGTAAGTATGCAGCACGCGCACTAACTACTACGCAGTTTAATTTCCAATTACTCGTGCAAAATTCATGCAGCATGCATACACATATTACACTATACGTACAGTGTACACGGGAAAGAGAGAGTGAGAGAGAGAGAGAGAGAGAGAGAGAGAGAGGCAGAGGACGGGGAGGAAGGAGAATTTAGGCGAGGAGTATGATAGGAGTGCAATGCTTGGCAAGAGAATTTGAATTCCTTTGGTAACGCGAAGAGGTATATTTGAAATTCAGCGCGACTTGTAGAAAAATTGAAAGAAATAAGGAGGAGGAAAAAGTTACAACTCGGCAGTTCGTAAAGATGCTGGTGAGGCGAAACTCGGATTAAAATCAAGTGGGAAAGTAAGGCGCGATCGATCGATTTTTTTTCTCACTTTTGTTCGAGGCTCTAACGTTATTTCTTTGTTTAGCGAGGAGCGTAACGAAAGAGGAAAGGCGAAGAAAAGATCGGGAGTAAGCGAGGAATGGATCGGAGATCGTTGTGTAGCGCCGGCCGGAGGAGGTGGCGGTTGCGCTTACCTTCTTGCCCTGCTTGCCGCGCTGGCCTCGCTCGCCGGGCGGACCGGGTGGTCCAGCCGGACCGATGTCGCCCTTCTCACCCTGAGTTCCTGCATATCACCGCACATCAACAATACGTTCGATTCTCGCGGTAACGAGTCGCTTTGTCATTCGTAATTCTCCGATGCGCTTGTTAGTCCGAGTCGGACTTGTTTGCAGTACAATTTTAGTTTGTCGCGAATGTCGGAAAAGTAGTTTCATATTAATTGTCAACTGGCCGTAAGCGAAGATATATAGACCTACGTAAAGTCGGTTTGACTATTTGATTTGAGGAAGATGAAATTGAGTGGCATCACTTGGCCTGCTCGTAAAAAAGGTACTTGAATGTTTATTAAACGAGCGGAGAAAAACTCGAAGGTCGTATTAGAGCGAGCTTATTGTCGAGGACGAGATGTAGTTGTGTAATTGTGTAAAAAGCTTATTACCAAAGAATAAATCTTGGCAACGGGGATAAAGAGTAAATGGCAAAAGCCGTCGTAAAACTAGCGGCAAAGGTCTAATCTAGCGAAATGAGTGGAAGGAAAAGATGGAGTTGACGCGAGACATAAAAAGGCAAGAGGCTGAGCCGAGCCGAGGTGGAAACGAAGGCAGCAACGAGCTGCGGTTGTGGTTTCCGTGGGCGTAAGAGCCATAACTGGGCGGAGAGGCTGCGCGAAGCGACTTCACGGAATCGCAATCGCTGCAGCTGTGTCGCGCGGATAGTTTTCCTCCGGCGTCCACCGGCGTTCGCCCCGCGCGAGCCGAGAATCTTTTATGAGCTAGCTGGGGCAAGGACTGTTTCGAAAGCGAGCGCGCGAGCTTGCGGACTTTATTTCCGCCACGGGCGGCCAATCCATCAGGCTACCGGGCGACGCTCGCTCCGCGCGATATATGTCGCTGTCGCTGTTTTTCAATCTTTCACCGGGGCCACGCGAGCGCGCTCGTCGATTCATCGACTCCGCCGTTCTAATGGACTTGTTTCGTTCCTCTCTTTGCCCGACGAATGCAAACGAGTTATTTCTGAAAGTCAATTTAGCAGCGGCGCTCGCGTTGCTTTTCTTTCGCTTTCCGCTTCGACGATAAGGAGGAAAAAACACTCGCACGTTCGCCGAATGCCGGCCGTCGTCGCTTTGTCTCGCGTCTCGCGTCTCGCGCGGCCTGGCCGATTTTATCTCGTATAAGCGTTTAAACGGCCCGCGAGGCCGCGGCAGACGCGTCCGTCCCCTTTCTCTCGTCCACGAGCACGTCAACGGCAGACGAGGCGCGCGCCTTTATTGCCCGGCCGTAATGCCGAGATGCCGAGAGACCGCCGCAACGCTAAGTAGACAGCTCTATTTTCCGGAGCTACGGCCAGGACAAATCCCAAGCAAGCGATGCTCAACTCGACGCTAGATGCCGGCGAGTATCGCGATTCAATCGGATGGTTGTACTTTGGAAGGCCGCGAACGAATCAATGACACGGCAAAGTTTCTTGAATCAACCGAGGTAATTGGCGCCTAGTTTAAGAGTTGCAATTGATCTTCGCAAAAGTTTTTCCATTGGCGGCTAGGGCTCGCGAAAGAGACTTTAATCTGGAAAGTTGTCTGGCGCGAATCGAAGGTATTCGAGTGTGCGTGTGTGTGCGCGTGCGTGCGCGTGCGTGCGCGTGCGTGCGCGTGCGTGGGTGGCGCGCTCGGCGATATCGATTGCCGCGCTGGAGTTGCTGATTAACCGCGATTCGTCAAGCTTAATATCTTGCCCGTCGCGATCGAGCGCCGACGATTGCAAGCTAATCGAAAGAAAGGAAAGAGTAATCCGCGCGGATGGAGAGGCAATATCGGATATAAATCGGTCTGGGCCACCGACGAGAGGCGTACGGCGGCATCCAGCGCGAGCGCGGCCTCGACGAGCGAGGCAAGGAAGGAAAAGAATAGAAGAGGGACGGTGTTGCGCGCCGCTCGTCGCCAGCTACTTACCAGGTGGTCCCGGGGGTCCGGGCGGTCCCTCGAACACGCCTGTCGCGAACGGCTCGCCGTTTATCGAGGTCGTCAGTCCACGCTCGCCCTTGTCGCCTTTGTCGCCCTGCGAACACACGGACACAACCAAGCAAAGTCAATTTGGCCGAGGCACTCGATTAAGCCCCGCGGAAACGAGATAGGACAGCAGCTCGCCGTGTTGTCTGCCAAATGATTTTCATTTTCGTCGCCACGCGCCACTCCCCGGCGAGGAGCCTTCGTTGAGCTTCCATCGCCGTCTGTCCGCTTTCGCTTCGATTAATTGCCTTTGAGACTGCCTTCTTCGCGGCAACTAGCCAGCGCCTCGGCACTCGGCGCATATCCAGCATATTTAATTAGGCGCAGCGCAAATACTGCCAAGAGACAAAGCTCGCGCAAATAAAAACAGCGGACAGGCGGATCACGATGACGCCGTCGGATTAAACGCTCCGTGCCATGTTAATTAGTCCGCGGCAGCCGCTAATTCGCAGTAGACCGAGTGCCCCCGCGGCAGCAGAGATTGTTATTTCTGCTAAAGGCAGCCGGAATCGATGACACCGAAAGATTATAAAGCGGCAGCGCGAGAGAGAGAGAGAGCGGCCCAGAGGTTAATTGCGCGCGGAGCGCATAGTTACACGGCCCCTCCGACAGCTATAATATGCATGCACTCGCGCGCCTCGCTTTATCAGATGAAAATCCCCTACTTTTTAGAGCAGCCCCTCGAGTATGCTCTACTAAACTGTGTATCCACTGTCGTTAAATCAACTTTTTTATTGTGCGGTTAACATTTCCACGAGTTTACAATTGAAACATATTTTTTCTTCGCGAGACTCCCCGACTTTTTTCCTCTTCTTGAAAACTATTTTTATTATATTAATTTTGTTGACGGTAGCCCATATAATAATTTTAGGCGGGATTGCGTATTGCGCAACAATATTTCATAAAAATTGTGCAGCCGAGGCACGACTAGATCCGAAATAAATGTGCGCTGCGGAGCCTCACAAAGCACAAAATTAAAGCTTTTGCGCACGCTCGTCAACTAACGTTATTTCAGCACAGCGAAAATTCGTTTAGCCTTAAAATGAGAGACGAAAAAATACAAATCAACTTTGAAAACGTACACAAAGCAAAAGAAATCACACGTGCACTTTTGTACCGTTGCTAAAATGCTCGGCTTTTCAAAAGTTAATTCATCATCGTGATTTGCTTTGAAACTGGACACAGCCACCAAAATGAATACTTGTAATAGCACGTATTTCAGTTGGTCTTTTGCTACTATATTATACATTTTGAAAAATATCAGGAGCGCGCTTGCCTTCGTATAAGTTGACGTATATTTTATTTTCGATAGCTTCAACTAAAAAACCCTTGATAACTACTGTATACGTATTCCGGCGAATAAAGATTTTCATTCGAAATTTATTCATCGAGGATAATTTGATAATTTGCTCAACAGAAATATATCAAGAAATTTGAACTGATTGCATAAGTTCAAATCGATTCTAGAAAGTCATATTTAAGCAGCGATTGATAAAATGATATACATTGAAAGTTTCGTGTATTCTATATAAATGAGTGACGAACATTCGTTAGTACGATGGGATCCTATACGAAATGTCATGGTCAGCTAGAAATGTATAGTAAACGAGCAATAAATTCGGGACTATTACCTTGGCTCCGGTTGCTCCTGGTGGCCCTTGCAGTCCTTGAGGACCTTCGGGTCCAGGCGAGCCTTTTTCACCCGCGGGTCCGATGTCGCCTTGTGGACCTGCTCTGCCATCTTGGCCTGGCGCACCTTCCACTCCTGCAGGACCTGGCGGTCCTGGCGGACCTGGCTCGCCTTGCTCACCCTGCATACAACGCGCGTCTGTCAATTCACGTCTCTTATTTCTACTTTCGTTTGAGCTTTTTCGCGAGCACGTTTTCACACATTTTAGCAGTTAATTATGTTTTAGTGACAACTCGAGAAAAAGCTCCATAAATGCATTCTTGAATGATTATTTGATAATTTATATCAAAATCTTTGTTATGGGAATTGGGATTTACGATTATTTTTCACTAAATAAAGCGTTTTTACTCGTATCTTCCTGTTGCACATTTTAAGTCGCACTGTTTCGCCACTTGAAAAAATCTCAATAATATAAATAGTATAAATGAAGTTGCAGCTTATCTTGAAATCGGTCAAGAGTATTATTTAGAATTTTCTTTAAGAAAGATACTTGCAAAAACGTTTCCAAACGATCGTGCATAGATACACAGTTTGTATGTACTTACAGTGTAAAAAGTGCAAAATAAAACATATATTATGGAAAAAATACATGAAAGATTGAAATAATAGTCGTAAAATTCTCGAAAACAAACGTAATAACCGGCGAATTGCCACACTCTAGAGCGCACCCCTCTTATATGTACATACGTCGGCAAGTACTACAAAATCCCCCATGCATGCAGTATATTCGTTTAACTCGAGAGCCATCATGATATTACGAGTTGGCGATGTTTCTGCGAGTCGTCAAACAAACTTGTTCGTGCAGAATAAATACATTTAATGTGTACTGAGTGCCTCCAGCGTATTAACGTTCCGACTGGAACTCATATATTTTATTCGAACCGTAGATACGACACTACAAATCTTTTATTTATTGAAGATCAGTCCGATAAACAAGTTTGTTTTATTAAATTTTTCAAATATTTTGTAAACAGCAATTCCAAGTTAAAAACACACACAGTAATTTAATCATGCTTCATAATCTCACGATACTTTCAAAATCTTACTTATTGACACACTGAAATTTCTACCTTGCACTTATCACTAAATTAATGAATTTATCAGGTTTTCATGCAGGATGAGGATATGATAGGTACGGTCGAATAAAATATAATTATGAAAAACAAATAAAATATGCTTTTATAGTAAATACTGTGATTGTACTAGTGATAAAACTGTAATCAAAAGCTATGAACAAATCGCATTATTTTTCGTACCCAAATATAATCAATATTTTTAAAAACAAAGTTTAATTTTACACTGTTGTACTTTTTTTCTCATAAAAACAAATGATGTTCAATGACAACTTTTCAAATATTGAGTAAATCTTCATCAGAAAGTTTCTGCAATAAACTAAAAAAACTTACTTTGAGCGTTATGATCTGCTGATCGGTGATATTAGCTCCCAGTTTTTGCAGTTCCTAGAAAGTAGGTCACTACAGGTAAAAACTAAATCTCTACACGTAAAATAGATTAAACGAAAATACAAATGATTCGTGTTTAAATTATAATATGGATAAGATGGGGATCAAGGTTCGTCCGTCTTTTAAGGCTTCTGCTTCTCGTGTTATTTGTAACTTGGTTAATTTTTTTCACATGCTGTCAAATTTACGTATGTTGTATCACTTTCTAATAGGTATTTTCATAATCATAACACTACCAATCAAACCCATGTAATGAGCAGCTACGACGCGACTATAAATTTTTTTCTTCAAAAATATTTTCCAAATAGATAGACACGAAACAATCCTTTCTAATTACATCATAATTCGTTTCTCACAATTCCACCGGTTATTTGTAGCTGTTCGCGCGTAACTACAGATAAACAAGTCAACGTCAGTAGTAAATTAGTAAATAATTTCTCTATTCAACGTTTCTATGTATAGATACAATTAGTATCTATTCTACAAATTGTGGAATTCATTTTGAAAAATCATGCATGCAATTCAGATCTACTACTGCAAAAAGCATGCTATACGAATAAAATATACTTTTAAAGACAAACAAATTGACCAATGTGCATAGATCGCAACTTCAATGTAATATTCTGTTTGGAAGCACTGAAACGAACGAATAACAGAAATTCAGTTTAAATACATGCACATTGATCGCAATGTAACGAGTCGCATCGTAGCACACTCGAAAATCACCATAAAAATGCTACACCGAAAGCAGCGCTAAGGAAAAACAACCAAAGAAACGAAAAAAAATTGGTTCTTGTACAAGAGCATCAGAACCACTGAGAGAAGAAAGTAACTACAAGATCATACTGAAAAAATCCAAGAAAATCGCAATAATAATGAAAAGAAAAACGATAAAAATGAGAGAACAAGTAGAGAAAAGTTGTGTGGTCTGAGCCTCAGGAAGGCCGGTTACCTTCAGCGCCACGATTTCGGCGTATCCGAGCGTTCCGCCGCGCAGCGTCGTCACCGACCTCTTTAACCCTAATCCCTGTGCATTGACCCGTAGGCGAAAACAATGTTCTAATTGTTTATTGTGTTTCTTTTTTGTTCAGATGCTTGTTATTATCTAGCATGTGCCACAAAGGTTAGTGCGCGCTCTTGCCAATGTCGTACGACTAAACCTTTTAGTGTCTGTTCGGATTACTTGAAAGGTACATTTATAACTGACGACATTCAGGCGACAAATGTACCTTTGAAAAGGACACCGATCGGCGCTTATCGACGGCTGTAAGGTATGCTGCGTATTGCAAGCGCGCAACTTCACTCGTCACTCGGCGCAGCGTCTTCGCTTCGGCATAAATATTCAGAGGATCAGCGACGATGCTCATCTTTCAAATTATTCAAATTGGTATAACACAGCCGTTGATACGCTACCGTCGGCGGCGAACAACAGTTGCCGCAAAACGCACGGCGAGCTCGGCTGTTGCTCCCCTCGCGGATTAATGTAATGGAAATTTTATTCATAGCGTATCGGGAAAGAAAGGGATGGAACCGCTGGTGGAAAGCTCCGTGTACCTAGCGGCCACCTACAAAATAAACAACGAGGCCACACGTACGGCCCGCGAATACCCTAGACTTTGTAAATTTTCCTTTACTTCTCCAACAATTTGCAGCTTGTGCCGAGTTTTATGAGCGCGATAAATTTTGGACCCGGAAAAAGCTCAGAGCCTTGTCGGATGCTTGGCTGCAGTCACGCGAGATCACAGCTCTATAACGATTTTCACTTGGAAATGCGTGGCCAAAACGAGCAAAACGGAAAAATCACGATCTCGATTGTCGAGCGGGCCGTTTCCTAGCGTACTATTCTGATAGATACCTTGACTGCAGAGAATACGTCGAATCCAGGATTACCATGTTCGCCCTTTTGTCCTTTCTCTCCTGCCGAGCCCTGTGAACAGTCGTAACAGTCATTCGTCATCAACGATTCAATGCCACGCAAAAGCCTTCTCTCTACACTCTAACGTCTTCGTTTTTCTTTCGGTTATCGGTTTAGTTTCAATCAAGTCTACGTGACGTTTCTTGCCAACACTTTTGCCAGCAGCTTCCGCGCGGGTACCCGTCGATATTTATTTTAGTCAACGTTGCGCCGGCCGCATCTCTTTTTCGACCGAACGACATTTTCTCCAAACGAGCGTCAATACGTCAAATGCAGCAGCGCCAACAGTCCAAGCCTCCCTCTGCTGCGATGCTACGATACACATCCAGCACTTTAACTTTCTTTGAATCGAGCAACTCGCGTGTCAATATAAAGAATATAAAACTCGCTTGCCGGAGCGGACATCTAGCTTTTTTCAATTCTGCATGTCGAGCAAACATTTCATTGATTGATCCGAAACCGTCGCTGTTCGAGACAGAGTTTTTTTTTCAATATTTATTGAGCCGAAGGTTGAAAAGGCTTTTTTTACGTTCAGTGCTCTTTAGTGATTCGAGCGAAACTCGGTTACAACGATCACGTACAAAACAAACACAGTTTTCATATGAAAATCGTTGAAGCCGGGCAAAAGTATACCATTGAAAAAAAAAGAAACAAAAAGATTTTAGCGAGTTTCTAAACGACGTTTTCAGATAAATGTTTGTGAAATAAATGGTGGATACTTACTGGTTCTCCTTTCGGTCCATCCATACCGATAGGGCCCTGAAACGAGGATAGTCTTAATACAAGTTCGATCGCTGAGAATTCATGCGAGTGACAGGAAAGTCGGAAAAGTCGGAAGTAGGAAAAAGTTGAGTCGTAAAATATTGATTTGAAAACAAATCAAATAAAGATAAGAGAAGAAAATATCGCTTAGATAACCAGTGAACCAAGAAAGAAAGAAAATGACAAAGAGATTGTTTGTAAATGCTTCCAAATACGAGTATTATTATTGCACTACTGTTAATGTAAACATTGTTATTTAAGCTACTGTTACACTACCATACTACTTTAGCATGAATAGTCGCACTCACGCTGCGTTCCGATACCTCGACGCTTCCGTAAGTGTGAGTGTCATCGAATTCAACGTAAAACGTTACACAGTAGATACCACAAGCAAATTAAATCGCACTTGTATTCAGTTAATACCAATTACATGAGTTAGTGTTTTGGCAATGCAAGACGTAAATGTACACTTATAGTACCCATCGTCCGAATAATCAGACATGATTTTCAAGTTTAGAACATAATTACATACCGTCACCGCGTTTATTTCTCTGCGAATAATTCTTATTTATAATATGTTATTTTTTATTTTTTAATGGAATGCGGATTGACCTGACTTTCAAATTAAATCAAATTAGAACCTGCTCGGAGCATGTCTGACATTTTCAATATTCCACTGATGTGAGCGAGGTTTTATTTTTTATTAGTAGCCACCTACTCTAATCAAATTTAACTTTAATTTAAAAATAATTGAGTTCTTAGTACGAATCGTATAAAGTCTGAAGTAAATATGACATTGGAACAAAGGGAAAATTTCATTTTGCCGTGCCACACACCACTCTTTTATAAAAAAGTTGTAATACACTAACGTAAATAGGTTTTCTAGAAAGCTAAAAAAATGTTAAAGTGGAACATATCCCCGACATTTTCAAGATTTTTCTGGGAATTTTTCGACTCAGTTATCAAACGCTTGTGAAAATTTAATTGCAATTTAAAAATAATTGAGTTCCTCATAGAAACCGTAAAAAGTCAAAAGTAATAGTTATTTATGTGCCTTGGGGCTTAATAATCTTGGCGAAGGCGTATTCGAGTTATGTGACACTCAATTGATGAATAGGTGGTGTACGACGCGACTGCATACAGATTGACTGCGGTTTTTTATTGATTTTACGGACAATCGCACAATACGGCATACACTGTTGACAGTTCGAGCTGTTAAACTGTCTTCGTTGCTAACATGTGTTTCGCGTGATAAACCGAATTACCGAAAGACAGGCTGCCGTACGGCTGCGTTCGACCACCGAAGATAGAGCGTCTATACAGCCGAAGAGTTTCTCACGCGTACACCACCTATTACCGATTGAGTATCCTCTGCGCGTAGGCTATAAATATAATATATGAACAAAGGGCAACATTCCTGTCGGTTGCTATACGCAATGCACCGTTGCAGAAAGGTTTTATTAAAACGCCGGAAACGTATCAAAATGGAATGTATGTTAAAGAATTTATTGGGAACCTTTAATCAGTTATTGAATGTTAATGAAATAATAAAGTCATAATTCAAAAATAACACAGGTCGACAACATTTGAAAAAGGTCCGGACCCAGAGACTAGCCAAGGTATTTCCAAGGGGATTTGGTGCGCTGAATCCGAATTCGAGCTTAGAATTGTTCCATTATTCGCAGTTTTTAAGATACCTTAACCTAAAAGCGTTAAAAACACTGTTATTTTGCTGTTTTCCAACACCTGTAACTTTATGAAAAAATTTTGTTTTTGTAAATTTGACGACGGCATCTTAAAGAGCAATTCTTGCGCTTCAAAACACACTCCTCATTGTTTTCAACGTCATTTTTTTCCGATAAAGATATGATACATGTCGTTTAAGCGGAGAAAAGTTTCGCTGAAAGATAATAGTAGTAAAAGGCAGAGGGTCTGTTGGTTAAAGAAATTGAGTTTTAGTGGTCTGGGATTATTGTTTAGCGGAGATCTTGGGTTAAGGTATTTGAGATGTAGTGGGCTGAGGTTATTGCCTAGCAGGATACAGGATTCTTAGGTTAAGGTACTTGAGATGTATATTATTTTTCAATCAAGATTATCTTTCAGCGAATTTTTTCTCTGTTTAAACGACATTTGCGAGGCTGCAAATTTATCATACTTCAATGTGTCATATCTTTACCGGAAAAAATGATATCGAAAATGAGGAGAAGTGCATTTTGAGGGACAAGAACTGCTCTTTAAGAAGTCGTCGTTAAAGTTGCAAAGAACATTTTTTTTCACAAAGTTACAGGGATTGGGAAACAGTAAAAAAAATATGTTTTTGACGCTTTTAGGATAGAATATCTCGAAAACTGAGGGTGATCCCACAATTCTGAGCTTATATTCAGATTCAGCGCACCAAATTCCTTCGGAAATATCTGGTGAAGAAAATCGATAACTCATTTGGAATGCGAAGCATACTACTTGGTCAAATGTTTTATGATAAAGCCAACAAAATATAATCTCTGCCGTCGTCGTAAAAAAAATAAACTAAGCAGCGATAGCCGAAACTGAGAGAGAGAGAGAGAGAGAGAGAGAGAGGGGGGGAGAGAGAGTGGAAAAAGAGAGATATAGAGGGATGGCTGTCAAGTTGCTGGCGCTTCAGTTGAAAATTTACGATTATAGATGCATACAACAGAACAGTTGTTGGTAACCCTCTGCTAATGCGGCAACGCGCTGCTGCGCCTCGCTTTAGTTTAGCGTATTAATCAGGATTTCAGATCAGCGCCTATGCGGCCGCGAAAATTTGACGTATAAGCTCTTCGTATAAGCGTTCTATAGGGATTTCGCGTACTGGCAGCGTATCGGGGGCCTTTGCGCCCCTACTGCTACTACCTTGCAATGTATACACTAGCTTCTATTTTCGTCGTGTAATATTAGAGAGAACTATTTCCCGTTAACTTATCGACATTTTAATTTATTTATCGCAACGTTGATGAACAAGTTGCCAAGACACGATTGAGTCCGACCAAATCCTATTATTTCTACTGTAGTCGAGATGTGGTCTCATAGAACAATAACTAGCGATCAGCCGCGATCTCCTTCCTGGTAGTTCATCAGCTGATTAGGGTGACATATTATTTCAAATAATAATAAAAATAACATTATTATTATTATTATTATTATTGTTACTATAATAATAATTATTATTATTATTATTAAGTAAAATGATATGTTCGAGGAAATAAAATTTGAATTATTATATATTTTGTCGCGATAGCTTAAATAAATTGCGAACAAGTGGTTTTTAACGAGGTAACGAAGCGTTCGCGAGCGCGAAAACGGCGTCGGTTTCTCGCTATGCACTCAGCGCTCGTCCGCAATAAGTACTGAAAAAACGATATCTTTCACCGGCATGACGGTGATTTTCATTTATAGGGGGTAATTCAAATGTTGAAGTACATCAGGAAATGGAATATGTTTTAAAAAATTACTAGGTTCTTTATTTTTCAAAAAATATTTAATAGTTAAAAAGTTCAAAATTCATAACTTTTAAGATATGCATTGCTTATAAAAATTACAAGAGAGCTTTTCTTCCTGTAGCGAGCCAAATTATTTAAAAAAAAATGTCTCCGGATCGAAAAAACAAATTATGCATAATTTGTTTAAACAATTGGAATTTAAAGGAAACGTTAATTTTGTATGAGTGCTTCGAGAAAAAATTATATTATTATTAGTACCCCGCATTGTACAATAATTCGACAAAAATCGTGGAACAAGTGAGTCCTTCTCAATTTAAAACAAGTTTACTTTATAAATTGCGCAACGTTTCGCCGCCACGTTTACGACCTCAGTAAACACTAAATTTATTATACTATATATTAAATATAAAATATCTATTTCATAAACATGGTAAAAAACAATCAATATTTACAATGCAATGTTTTCGTCAAAATTCGCATAATCTCACGAGTGGTAGCACAGTCACCTTGTCAAAAAATAAAAAAAAATTTTTTATATATAAAATATTGTTGAGCATAGTACGGAGGTGTACTCAATCTCATTTCGAAATCATCTCAGTGCGAAATCTCATTTCATCAGCGTATGACGATTGAATACACCTCTGAACTATGCTCATTATGATAATTAATTATACAAAATAATATTTTATATAAAAAAATTTTTTTTTATTATTGACAAGGTAATTGTGCTTTTACTGATGAGATTATGCGAATTTTAACGAAAATATTGTATTGTAAGTGTTAACTGTTTTTTGCCATATTTGCAAAATTAATATTTTATATTTAATATATTGTATAATAAATTTAGTGCCTGATGAGGCTGCAAACATGGACGGCGAAACGTTGCATAATTTATATAAAAAGAAATTGTTTGAATTTGAGAGGGACTCACCCGTTCCACAATGATTTATGCCAAATTATTCTCGAAAAAATAATGGACATTATGCATTGGACGGATAAAAATGCGCGTGAATGCACGCTTTACTTATTTGAAGAAATTAATTTAAACGGACTGACATTCTGGAATCTTTGAGGGAGTAGTGCGTGCTAATAGCGCCACTGACCATCAGACAAGCGTGTCAGCGTTTTATCGGATGCAGAGACGCAAGCCCCACGGCTACCCACGCTTTGCGTATTTTAAAAGCCGCAACGTTGCTGCCTCAACGTTACCGCCGATTAACAATTTTCACGCGTACGCGCCACTTTTTCCCCCCGTTCGCTTAATTTTTATATCTGTGCGCGCTTACGCGCTGAGCCCATTGTCCACCCTATACTCTGTTGAGTTTGCAGTTTGAGCTAATCGACACTGGGCCACGTTAACTCTAAATTTCCGTTGATCGTTTACTTGGAACTGCAGCATGGTTATCGATCGAAATGCAAAAACTAAAGGTTCGGCAATTCGATTGGCAACAAGCGGTACTCTTATCGGAAAAGGGAACAAGTCGAAAATAGTCCGCAGTCGAGAAGCGTCGCGTGGACTTTTTAAAATTTATACTCGACAAAAGTTGCGGCTGTGGTAGATGGCGCGTCTCGAAAGTTTGTCTCCCGGCGCGTCCAGTCGATACGCTGACAAGCCCACGAGCTAGACTCTTGCCGGGAATCACGTAGAACGTAGAACGCGCGAGCGAGTGAATTTTCACTAGAGCTACGTGGCAGAAGCACAGGGAAGAGAAAAAAAGAAGAGCGACTAAAATATGTATCCCGCAAGCCAAGAAAACCACTTTCGCCCGGATGTGTTTACGTAGAGTCAGAAGCGTGCGTACAGCGCAGAGGAGAGGCGTGTATCTTATTTCATTGAACATCCATCACTGTGCCGCGCATTCAAATCTTACGTCCGCGCAGCGACTCTTTCAATTTGCAAATTGGCACGCCAAACAGCACTCAACGTAATATCGACTGATACACATTTTTCTGCTCTGCGCTTATGCATTCGTATGTAAATAGGGAGGCAACAGGCGGAGAGGACTCTGTGACAAAGACACTTGACGAGGGTTCTCGTCAAGTATTAGACGTGGCGAAAATTGGTCATACTGCTGGAAGGGAAATTTGTAAAATTAACAAACCGGGAACCCAGGATATCCACGGTGGCCGACGGGTCCCTGCAACAAAGCAACGTACCATTTGTCACACAATGCGTCAGTTCAACTATTGCACGCGTTATTACTGAACCACTGTCATTATTAGTTCTATCAAATTGACTGCCTTAAACTGCTTTACATTATTTCATCTATTTTACATGATTAAGTTTATTTGGAAGTTTTGTTAGTCGCGTTATCCAATACAACGTAATAACTAGGTTAATTGATGAAATTTACTAAAGTAATATCAGGATAATTTCTTCAGGAAGCAGCTTTCAAAAATAATTAGCACTACAAGTTCGTTACGGTCAAGTATAAAGTGGATAATTATTTTTCTTTGCACATTCGTCTCTTATAAATGAACTAAATACAAATTTATTTTTAGCTATTCGTACTTTCATGTGTTTACAGAATTCAGAATTTTTATAAAAATTAAACATGCTCCGTTATATAAAAAGGTTAAGTGAACAGAATTTAGAAATTTCACATTTATGGCAGTCCGGACAAAGTAATTTATTAGCCACGTAATAAAGAATTATAACGCGTTTTCTCGCTAATCATTATATTTTTGATAAAAAATGTCATTGATTACGTTTGATAATTAAACTTGGCTTGTTTCTTTTATATTTTGTTACACTTTTCATTTTATGAATGTTTGTTGAAGGTTTATTCATGTGATGATTTAAACGTATAATATTGGAATGACGCTCCGTCAACTATGAAATATTCAACTGTTTTAAAATTATCTCTTTTCTTACCGTTGCTCCCCTAGCACCACAATCACCTTTCGATCCCTGAAATTCCATGTACAATTAAAACACACGTATAAACTTGAAAAAATATTTAACCTTCCTAACGTTTCCCTCAAGTCGCTTGCAATGCCAATTTGTTTAGTATTACTTGGAATTTCGTATTACTTGGAAGCAAATTCTAACCTTTAGAATAGACAGGGAAAATAAAGCCAGAATTGGAAAAAGAAAAACCAAAAATTAATATACCGGGAAACCATTCATGCCTGGCGTACCAGCCACTCCCTGGAAAAAGTTTTATTAAAATATTACGTATTACAGTTAGATACTACTCGCTGAAGCATGCTCTGCAGTCGGCGTGCCACTGTTATTTATCAACATTCGTTCTACATTGTTATAATTGAAAGATTTTAATTATGGAGCAATACAATCGCTTGTTTCAAGAATAAACAGTACAATTATATGGCAACTCGGTTACATGTAAATCCCGCAAATATTACAAACGTTAAAATAATAAAATGCGACAGTGTTGCTTTATTAAAACCGCTTGACTGTCAATGTCCATTTCGAGAGAACCATTCACAATGGTTAAGTTTATTAATTTTATAGAGTATGCCAACAGGCAATTAGATTTTTCATCCGTGAAAGTTTTTCATTCAATATTACGCGTAAGATTTTAAAAGTACTCCATAATGCGATAAAGGAACTCTAAACTCAAAGCGAAATCATTAGACTACGTTACGCAAGCGGAATTTAATATAGTGTTATATGAAAACTACTTATTTTAACTAGGCATGCCTTCCAATTATTATTATGATATAAAATAATAGAGTTTCAGGAAAGGTAAAATAACTTTGAATAGAAATTTTAATAAACTTCGACATCGGAAGGATTGTCATGATCGAAATAGATAAATGATGCAATATCAACGATTGGAGACAAGATTAAATCCTAATAAAGCATCGATACGATCTCGGCGACGAAACGTGACGATCCGTAGAATCGGACAAAATCATGACAAATAGCGCGTAGCCGCAATTATACGGAACTGGCGATAAACCAACGCGGACGTCAATTATTATCGGTCATCTCGCGGCCTTATCACCGCATCCATACTCGTGGCACGCACGCGGAACCCGTTCTATGTTTACGTGAGTAAATCCCAAAATGAAATGCACCTTTCGGGCTATTCTAGCTAGAATCGTTAAATTTCTTGTCAATGCTGTGGCTTCCGCACGTTTTTCTTCTTCTTACTTGAGCTATAGAGAGACGAAAAAAAGCTCACGAACATTAGAAGAGATTTTTCAGTGGATCTTCAGTGGTTTTGCGCTTCTAATGCTTATGATATAGGTTTTATCGTAAAACCAATAACTCCATCGTATATCTTACGCGATAAAATATACCGAAAACTCCAAAGCACACGAACACTTTGCACCACTATAAATCTAAGTAAAAAGAGGAAAAAACGTCCAAATTTTCTCGATGTCATAGCATTGAAAATAATTTCGCGATTCTCCGGTCCTAAAAAATTCATTTTATTTTAGGATTTACTGATATGTGCGAGATTTCATCAATACTACATACAAATCATAAGAAAATTTCCATCTGATTGTCACTTACCGGTGCGCCTTGTGCGCCGGTTTCGCCTTTTTTACCCTTTTTGCCTCGTTTTCCCGCTGGACCTGGACTACCTGGTGGACCTGTAACGTCAAAATGAAAATCATTAAATGACACAGCGTACAAACGTATATATTTTTTCATATCATTAATAACGTAATAAAAATGTGCAATCATGTCTCATCTAAGAGGAAATATAGTGAATATATTTCTGTGAATATAGATTTTGCTATTGGCAATGCCCGTACTGACTCGAAGTACGCATGTTCAGGTGCACTTCCAGCGAGGCTTCCACAATGCCGCGCAGTGATAGCCCTGTTCTTTTCAGCAAATATAACGAATGTAGTACACGTATATTTCAAGTTAACGCGGGATGTTTGCAGCCTCGGCACAACGATTTCAAATCTTATCTGGTGCGTTCGCGCCAAGTTCTCTATCTTCCTCTCCGTCTTTATGTGCGCGTGCTCTTTGCGCTCGCACACTTGTTGGTTTTACGACGGCAAAAGTGCGAGACGAAAGATGTCCTGCCGGCAAGCCGTTGGCAGCAGCCGTTCCCTAGCTCGCTCTACAATATAATATCCCATTGTGTAAAGTGACCGCGAGACCCGCGGCGATAACGTCTGACGGGGTTTTCACTGGGAGCGAGGATATGTCTTTCGGATTTATTTGACAAAAGATGAGTAGGCCGGGGCTCGATACGACCTCGCGAATAAAGGAAAGCTGCTGACAAGCCGCTTAATGGCCGAATCTAAATCGACGTGGGATTGGACTGGACGCGAAAGCAGGCGAAACGCAGTGCGCCCGCATAAAAAATGCTCGAGGAACTAATTAATAGCCAGCGGGCGCGCGCCGCTGAAGCGCCGAAGCAATTAAACGATATATAGCTCGCGGACTTTTTCAAAGCTTATCGGTGGTCGCGGTCGTAGGCAGGCGCGCCGAGTCAATCCGATAACGGTAAACGGCCTTTAATCGCGCGGGGGAGCTCGTCTCTTTGATTCCGGCGAGTCAAAGACTGAAAATAAAGAAGGAAATGGTCTCGTTAATAAGCAAAAGCGAGCGCGCGCCGTTGGAAACGCGTTAAAAACCAGCGCAAACTTCATTAGCATCCATTCTCATTGTCTTAGCCTGCTCCGCTCGGGACTTTATTCCCCCGCGCGGCTTCTGTATTTGTATTTGCTTGTTCTTCGGCACGCTTCTTTCGTCGACGCGACGGAGCGACGCGAGCGCGCAGATCGCTGATGAAATTGAAATATTTTTTTCAGTCGCATTGGGCAATGAATAATTGAAATGGCCGGGAACTGGGTCATAAATGGAGCGTACAGCTGAATACTTGGCTTCGGAGCGATTTATGGCCGTGAATTCATTACTTTTATTAATATTTATCGCTCGTACATCTTTGCAGAGGCAAATAAATTCAGATCCATTCAATTCAATTATCTCGGTCTCTCTCGCTTTCGATCCGCGCCGCTGGATCGCCGAAGCCCGAGCCCGAGCTCTGCAAGGTATTCCGATGAAGAGTGCCGGACATTTTGGCGGAACTTTTGCTTCAATGGCAATTTATCTGCTGTCGCCGAGTGAAGAGTTTACCGACGCTGGCGAGCGAGCGGACGAAAGAATCGATCTGCATAGGCAAGTGTGCCCCGCGGACGTTTTTTCACCGATTCAAACGCGCGCAGCGACTTGATGAAATGGCGGCTTTTAAAGTTATAGCCGATTAAGCGCTCTCGCCGATATACCAGTTCCCGGCGAGCCGAAGCGCGCTCGTAAAGATGCCACCAGCGAAATCGTGGACCTTTACTATTCAATGAAATCAAATGTTTCCCAGTGTATATGCGAATTCCAACGGTTTGCTCTTCCGGGAAATGCTCGCGCTGACGAGCCGGAGTTCCATGGCGCGCGAAAAGCTTTTAATCGAAGGCAGTCGGCCGCGGCGCGCGCGCCAACGGTCGAGTCTCTGCCCGGCCCAAGACAAATAGATCCGATTTTCCCGATATAATCGAACGGAGTGGCCGCATTTATCCTCGGGCTGTCGGCGCGGCTCCTCCCGCGCAACGGCAGCGGCAATCTCGCTCCGCGGCTCCTCCGATTCCCACCGGATCCCGCGGAGACGCCGACTGGCGAGCCGTCTATATCGAATTACCGACCGATCCAACGCAAACAGCCCGTGATCCTACGGCTGTCCAGTGCTCGATAAGGGCGTTGCGATCAGCATCGAGTATCTCCTCGCGCTGGATGCCACTCGCGCGCGCTATGCTCTCGTCCCGCCGGATCAGTTGGTCCAGTCGCAGGCCGAGGGAAACGGGCGAACGGACGAACGTCGGGGCTAATCCCCGAACGTACAAAAGTTGTCTCTCGACCTGTGACGTTGGCCCCCAGTACGAAGAGACAAGCACGAGTCAGGCGCCTCCGAGGAATGCGCGCCGAGAGCTCACGGGAGGGTCTTAGGCGCCGCGACAGCCGACGATCGCGATAACAGCTGGCCAACACGGGCCGTCCTCGCCCGAGGCTCATAAGTCAAGTCGATCAGCTCCGAGATTGGCCGCCTCGGCCTCGCCTCCTCGTTCGTCGTTTCTTTCGGCGGCCTGCACGCTCGCCCATCTCTCTCTCTCTCTCTCTCTCCACTGCACCTGGTCACGTCAATCAGGAGGTCAACTGCGCGCTCGCCGCGACGTGGCCTTGCCAGTACAAAGACGCGTGTGCCGGTCGCCGGGACGCCAGCAGTATGAAATTGGGCGAGGCGCGCAGCTCCGCCGTCGATTCGCTCAGTGGGGATTGCGGGGCGAATTCGCCGATCGGAGCGCGCGAGCCGACATATTAGAGCGGCAAACTCGAAGCGGCGCCGTAAGCTCCGCTCCGACTCCCCCGCCGCGTGTACTCTTTGATGTCTGCCGAGGTTTAATTGCCTCCATTAGTAATGCGTTTGCACGGAGAGCGGGGGGGGGGCGAAGCGTAAGGTAAACGCGAGACGGAATTTGGCGCTTTCGCTCGAGCTTCCTTTAAGCCCTCATTTAATTAGAGGCCGCATCCGAGAGCGAGCGCGCCACCACCTCAACCCCGTGCTCTGTATCCGACGCAGACTATCGCGAGAAATTGCCTGGCGAGTGCGTCGCGCGTCGTGTCCAACCGATCGCCGCCATCGCAGTCTCGTTATTCGGAAGAGGGGGGCGCGCGGAACCGCGAGTGCCTACCCGAGATCGGCCGTCGATGTGCGCTGCGGAGCGGATGTCCTCGGCGGGCCGCGGCTCAAGGAACTCGGCGTTATATCGCTGGGCTTTTGTCCTCGTCGTCGAGCGCCCGTATGCCGTTAAACTTTGCCAGCGCTCGCGGCGCCCAGACAGATATTGCAAATTAGTTACAGCCTCGGTCCGCGCACGCGCGCTCGCGCGGCCACGGCCGCTGCATGGATTTTTGCCGACGCGCGAACGCGTAAACAATGAAGGCCAACTCTCGCGCGCCTTCAGCGATAAACTGCCGCGGCGGCGTTAAATATCGTTTGGGCTCGTTGCGCGCACAATGCAAGCCGCGCGCGAGCCAACTTTAAAAAAGCGTGCCCCCGATGGGCAGCGAGCGCGTTCATCGATTAGCCAAGAGGAGATAGGGTTTCGGTCTACGGAAACAGCGAGGCTGCTGCGCTTTTCACCGCTCCACGCGCACACTGCAGCCCGCTTCTAGCCGCCACCTTCCGCCGACTCTTCCGACTCTTTACGCAAATCACATTTCCCGCGAACTCGCTTTTCGAAACTAATCACCCTTTCCCAATCTCGCGCCTCTTAAATCGAACACCTATGCGTCGTGGCTTTTACGAGCCTTCAGAAATTCGAGGGCTATAAAAGTCTAAAACTGCCATGTGGAAACTTACGGTAACTACTCGCGCGATATGTTTACCACTCCCCGAAGCAAAGTTCGTGGAGCTATAAGCTTCTGCCTGACGTTATATATCTACACCAGATAGTTTGCACGGGTTTGGTTGGACTTACGCTTCAGCGAATATACAAACAATTTGATAATGTAAATCAATTGAAGGTAGCGTTGCTATCGACAGTGAAGTCGATCGTGAGAGGAGAAATTGATGCGAATATTTTCTAAAAATCGAATGACGCTGAGAAACCTGAGCGCGGACGTAGCCAACGACGGGGATGTACAAGTATAAGCCGTGTCGAACGGTAAATACGCCGAAAGTTGATTTGAAAACGAGTAAGTGGCGCTGATTGAAAGAGGCATGAAAGAGCGAACTGAGCACAGTTTATGACGCGTCAGCGAGTGAAAAGAAGCGAAGAAGCGCTCTCGTGTCTCGCTCGCTAGCAATTAGTAGTCGCGCAATTAGGAAAATTTCGCCGATGTCCCCATTAAAGTGCGGGGCGTCGATTATTATTGCACAATGGCGGGCTAAAATTTTGCGGAAAGACGCGATGCTGTAGGTAGGTAGGTAGAGCGAGAGAGAGAGAGAGTGGAGCTCGTATCGGAAGTGCGCGGCTGCGCGCTCATTAAAGGTCGGCGGCGCGCTTCGCGACGCGACGGAGAATAATGGGCTTCTCGAGTGCGCTGCACGACTCGCTCCCAGGCGTCGCTATGTACAGACATACATGTGCCGTCTGGGTGTGCGTGCATATACTTGCGCCTCATGCCCGCAAGCTCGCTGCCAAAGTGCGAACCTAAGAGCCATAACTCTTAAGTCGATTGCCCGAGCGCTGTCAATTTCCACTCCAGCTGCTCACTGATTTTTCTCACTAATAAACCACCTCCAAAGGCATCTCAGCCACTCGATGCAGTTTCTGCCTAAGACCTTTTAAAAGCCAAATTAACGCGGCATTCACCTCAACAATAAAGACGAGTTGGTCTAGAATCCGACAGCCGGAGGCGTACTTAAAGAGGTAAAAAGGCAGCGCGCCACGGTTTCTCGAAGGACGTTTTCACATCGCCTGTCCCGCGCCTGTGAAGCTACTGCACGATTATCAGAAACCTCCAATTCATACCAATAGTCAAGTGTAAGGCAGTTCTGCACTAGAAATTACGTTTGCTACACGCGCGTTTCAGCTCACCTCGCAATCGAATTATACAGTCATCAAAGTGACGCCACAATGAT